GCAAAACTTAAAAACAAAAATAATAACTGTCCAACCAAATCATTGGTATTATCATAATAAATAATTGAAATAATTATAATAATCATAAAATATGTACATAGGCGCGTAGTGTTATATTATAATATTTTGAACCATGAACTAAAATTATGTGTTACAATTTGTAGATATTCTAACTTCTAAGTCTAATATAAATTCATTATTATAACTATTTATAGTATTCTTTAACAACATCATTTTTTTTTCATTTTGAATTTTAGAGCTAATTAAGCTAAGAAATATTAAATTTACAAAAGCAAGCCTTTAACACTGGAGGAGTTTCCATATACCCATTACAGGTAAGAAAATAAAACTAGAGGAGTTTACATTAGACCTTTTCAGATTTCATGGGTGGTGTAAACTCTTTCGATTGTATGGTAAACTCTCCTGATTTTTAAAACTAGTAAACTCTCCCGATGATGGTAAACTCTCCCGGGTCAGTATTATGATTACCTGAAGGAAATGTTTTAACTATCTCAGGTCAACTCAACTTTATGTTTACCTGAAGTAAATGTGTAAACTCCTCTGAGTTGTTTTAAATGTTTATAGCTACACTATAAATAAGCAACTGTGCAGCGATTGTGATCATCATTTTAAATATTAATAATCAATTGTATTACCGTTAACCTAAATTTAAAATTAAAGTATTTAAATATATTATTACCATTAACCTATTTTTAATTTAAGTATCTATTTAAAACGATATTGACTATAATGGCTCAACCAAGTTTTACAACCTTACCAACCGCGTAATAAGAATAGTGCCCAATGCTCCCCTATATAGCGTAGTAGTACTAAAGTATTGTAGACCTGGGAGTGTTTACTTAACGTGTTTCCGTCAGGTAGTATTGGAGTATACCTGGGAGAGTTTACATGTCATTAACATCGGGAGAGTTTACAACCGCCCGATTTCATTATACCTTTTTATCGTATTCTAATTTCTAAAGGAGTTTACAATCGTCCCATCAATTGCACACAATAACCATTGGAGTCTTAAATCTTAATACTTATTCAAATAAGTATATGAAATTAGAAATTACAACTAATGACTAGGTACCTATTAATTAGGTAGATACACTATTACATTATAGAGCAAGGGTTGCGAACTTTTTCGGGTCAAGTGCCAAATTTAAAAACAAATTTAAAAAAATATATTTGCGTGCCTCCTCCCCCCCCCCCAAAAAAAAAGCAATTTTACTGAGAATAAAAGAAGGTAAGCAATAATAATTACTATACACATTTCATCACGTTTATTTGTTAACTTTTACTTTATGAAATACAGGCTGCAAAATATTATGAAGTATGTCGAAAAAAATATTTCAATTAGTTTGGACGTGCCATTGAAATTCGGCCAACTTGCCAATTCTGGTACTTTTGCCTTAGGTTCGCTACCCCTGCTATAGAGTATAAACCTTTACACTTTTACAGTACACACCTATATATATATTTAATGGAATGTTATGTTATTGAGCTGTGTAAAATAATGTTTTGGATTAAAGGTACCTAATACGTAATGACTAAAGATACAGTTTTTATATATAAAGTGTAAGAGTAATTTATCGATATTATACTATAATTATTACTTATTACTTTATTAGTTATGAGTTATTATATTATTTAATATTAGGCGTGTGCGCAGCTCCTACCGTAGCAGCGCTATAACTGTGATAAATTCAAACAAGCCAATGAGAGATGATCGGAACTATGAATTTATGGTGGGGTTTTATTATACGTTCATTCTGTGTCTTTATATTGTAGTAAAGCCTATAAGCTTTTTGAGTTGGCAGATTAGTACATCTCTAGTCACCACAGTGCAATAAAAGAACCTTTTTCCTTGCACACCTTTCGGTCAGTGACCGACGTGTCGGAAACCAAAGATTCACGGCTCGCTCTTTACTTCGAATTCCACCTGCACCAATATCTAGGATATATTTTATTATAATATAATATAGGGTTTTAAATACGTATATTTGTATGTAAGTATAAAATTAAATGAAAATTATTTATAATTTATGCATATAGTAAAATACTAAAATTGTTTATTTTGATCAAATAATAATTTGAGTTTTGAATATAATTTCAAGTTTGTTATAAAAATTTTTTTTTACATACAAGGCAAGTAGTAAAGTAAAATATGATAAATGTATTAAATAGTATACTATGTCCAGACTAGATATAAAGATATTATATAAGTCTTTTTATAATGTAATCCAAATATTTTATTTTGAATTTTAGTTTTTTGAAGTCATGATGATGAAGACTAAAAAAACCAAAAAAATTTCCTACAACGAAAATACTAGGGAGAAAAGATCAAATGCAAAAACTAACCATATCAAGGATATAAAAAGTGAGAAATATATTACAATTACATATCTAAATTAAAAAAATCGTACTGGAAGTCGATGTCTCGCCTGAGAGTGTTGTGTCCGACACTCTGTCTTACAAACTTAAAAAATAACAAGTGTGCATTCAACAGAACCATTTTTGTGCTGTTAGTTTTAATATTAGTGTTTGTAAGTTTGAATTTATGATACTTTAATTTTAATCAACTAATGACTAACTTGCTAATAGCTACATAAAATCTTAAAAAACCGACATACAAATACTAGAAATCTTCTTGCCTTTATTTATTATAAAATGTCGTATGTAATACACTTAAATATTAAAGTTAACAAAACAAAATTGATGTTCTGCTGAACGTACATTTGCAATATTATCTTCAAGACGGGGTCAAAACGGTAGCGGGTGTGAGTGTGGGATGTCTTCTTAAAAAGTATATACTATGTATAAATTATATATATATTACGACCCTATATATAATTTCAATACTTAAAAACGTCGGTATTTTTATAAACATATTATAATGTAATTATTTTATTTAAGTACTTCGGATTATGAAAGTATAATAACATATGTCTTCATAACAAATTATAAAAAGCTATAATCAAATGCTGAATCCGCAACTCCATAGGCGCAAATACAGGGTGGCTTTAAGGGCCAAGCCCCCCTCCCCCCAAAAAAAATTGCATACACTATTTGTACCTATGCACCATACACTCCACAAATTGGATTTATATGGCAAGCATAAATGTATAGTTAATATGTGTACATATTTTTATTTACAATCATTTCAGAAAAAAATACTAAGAAAAATCAATTTGAAACGAAAAAAAGCAAAAATGAGATAAATAAAATGAAATCTAGTAATAAAGCTACACTCGTCGAATTAACAGAAGCTGCAAGTACAAGTTCAAACACAAAAATCGAAACAGTAGAATCCGAAGA